ACGAAACTATTTCGAGCCGCGAGAGGAAGTCTCGCTCAACAAAATGCACTGCGTTACAAATGCACCCTGCTGCAACGAGCAAACCTAATTTACACAAACCGTAGGAAATGAACGCACGAAGTAGATGAAAGGGAGAGGAAAAGGACATGTTAAAGGCTGTATTTTCATCCGGAAAAATAATGCTACTCCTTTATCTAAATTTTACGGTATAACACTTTTCGTGTTACCTAATTATGTATAATCTGATTAGTAGTGCTTTCATTATGACCGAAAATATTTATTAGCATTATAATTAATTTTAATTGTATTGCGTATATCAAAAATGAAATTAAGACATAAGGCCGGAGCATTAAAAGCTTCTGAATTGTATGCAGCTAAAAATGACAAAAAAGATTAAACTCAATTATATCTAAATATCATTTGTTAAATTTCTCCAAGTTACGATAAAACCCAATAGCTTGTTCATATTTTTTTATACGTTTGCTAAATAAAAAAAAAAACCAATTTTAAAATATGGAAAAATTTATAATTACAGATAAAAATATAATAAATAAATAAACAAAGAGTTGGGAAAACAACTGATACATGCGTATCACGCAAGTAGGATAAACAAAAGTAACCAACCAAATTAGCGGAAACGGAAAAAAACATGGATTGTTAAAACTTTCACGCTTGCCGCATGATTCGCTAAAAATCTGCAATCACGTGATCTCGATGGGGGGCGGGAAGAGGATTAACGGACGGACAATGAACGGACGATCCTGCTTGAATGGCGTGCTGAAGCGCACTCGAAACCGAGCCGAACAATTCACGCGTAATTCTCGTAACTGCGATATTCGCGTTTCGCTGCGATTTCCGTCTCGACGAGGTCGGATTTGGCTTTTCTGCCCGTTTCAAAGATCTCGCTTAAGGCTCTCAACGTGTTTCGAATCGCAAAATATAAAAATTCGTGCGTATGCATTTTATTTGACAAAATAATATATTTCTATTCCCCATACAATGTTTTTCGAATATTTCGATTTTATGTTTTATTTCCCTCTTATAATATATTTGTTGCATAATTATAAAAAATTGTCATTATCATCCAGGAGTGAATTAAACGATCAATTTAAAGATCTACAATTTGTTCTAATCTTAATATATGTATATGTATATAGAGCGTAGATTCAAAAGGAACAATTAATTTCCTCCTTTTACACATTCTTTTATTAAAATATAATTATTTGAAAAAAAAAATGTAATTTCTGCAGTGTGCGATGTTAAATGATTAGTCCTATGAATTATTACAGTAAAGATGGTAAAAGATAAAAAGGAAAAGAGGGATTACAATTCACGTTCGTAATACCAACCCCAACCGTGAGACACCCGGTATACGTCGCATTAAGCGCTGCGCTACACTGTTCCGCGACTAATTGGGAGCGGTTAATGAGGTGACGCATTTTTATTGTTCTTCCGGCTTGTTAAGCGACCTGTTTGCTTCCGTAACACGTACACTGGGAGCCCCGGGAAGGCGCAGGGATAGCCGGGAATCCCGCGGATATCCTGAAATTGTCCCGAATACCTCGCGCGAATCCCGGAAACGCCAGTAGAATATTTTTCGCGGCTTTGCCGACCCGGAGGATTATCGACATTGACGCTATACATACACCCGCGTTTATTCACACACACGTCTTCGTTTAAATAAACGTGTCCGAGCGAATTCATAATTAAATTAAACTTAATAAACAGAAATAAATGGATAAAAAGATGCTGACGCATTATCGGTGGCCACGCTAAGCGGAAAAACTGATTTAGCTCGTCAAATATTATCTTACTTAGAAAATGAATTAACTCGCACCAAGTCATATTTTTGCATAAATTAAGATGAAAAGTTAAGCCGTCAAAAACACATGACGGCCGCTTAAAATATATGAGGCGTATATGATGTGCGTGTGATTGATTATATTTTTAAAATATTAATATTTTCTTGTAAAAATTTATTATAAATATTATTTTATCATAGATTCTGTTTTTAAAAAAATTTGTGAAAAATAACAATAACGTTACAAAATATTTGTAAATGTAAGAGTTCAAAATACAAACATTTATTAAAATAGTTCAAATATCGAAAATTCGTAATAATATTTTAAAATAAATGATCATGAATATGAGAATCGTGATTGCCTTTCGCGTGCAACTAAATGACTTGTTTGTTAAAACTAAATTGATATTTTCGTTCTTAGTGGTATGCAATTTTGTTCTCGGTAGTATGCAATTTTGAATATTATTTCAATCGCCCCTTTGATTCAGTGCTTTTACCTTGTCGATTCACATATGCGTATAATTAATATTTTTTGTTTTGCGAGTCAGTTTACTTTCGCGCAGCGGCGTTCATTTAAGATTTATTTTATTTTACTCATTATAAAAATTAAATCGTAAACATTTACTGCTTTTATATATACAGAATATGTTGGAATTAAATTTTGAAATATTTTATACATATTATCTAAAAAATTTATTTTTTTTTTGCTTACATCATTTTCGAAGAGAAAAAAGATCTTGTATAATAAAATAATTAAAAAAAAAATAATTAAAACAAACCTAGGCGGCAATCCTTTTTTAAAATTAAAAGTAGTTTATGACGCATGACATTTTTGGCGAGAAGGCCTCGCACAGGTCGAATTTCTGGTCAGGATGAGAGGATTGACAGCTGCATTAAAAGGACGACAAGCGAAGGATCCGGAAAATCCACGTATAGATATTACACGTTCTCGCGTGAGATGTCATGTTTTTCTATCGTATTCGTGCACGTGAGACTACGTTCCAAAATTTGATTCGATCGTGAACGGTAGTTTATCTTTGAATGCATGTATGTATAAGATAGGCGAGTCTACGTTACCCCACTAAAGTTTTCATAAAACTTTTTCCACGTTTATACAAAAATATATGCCTGATAAGATTTTTTTCATATCTGTAATGTACGTATGTCTATAAATATATAGTATACAATTTTTTGATATTTACTGACTTATCTTAATTAAATATTAATAGCAATTGGTTTTTTTGTACTTTATCAAACTGTCAACTTAGATTGATGAGAAACCATACAGAAATTTTACTATTTATTGCAAAAAAATTATTAAAAGATATTTTAAATTCTTTCTTTAAATATGAAAAAATATTAGTTATAAATGATTTTTTCTGTATGAAAATTCTTTTTCTACTAAATATAACTATATAATATTCAAAAACAGAGAATATCTTGATTAATATTAATTTGAGATGTATATACAATTGTATTCAAGTCACCTTTGTTCTACGTAAGTATATGCTTACGTACCGTTTACTACTGTGTAAAACAAAGTTTAGCTAATCTGTGAAACTGTTTCAGGTTTAGTTATATCTAAAGTTTACACGAAAATTAATTTCAAGATAATTAAATATTTTAGTTGTTTATGTGCTAATTTTAATGTTGCGGTTTACCGTATCTGTTGTTAATTATCTTTTCCACTTTGTTCTTAATACATTTTTCGAGAAAATAGAGTAAATGTTATTATTTATCACAAATTTTATTAATATTATTTTTTGAGAAAAGTTAATGTATTTTTAGCTTAATTTCTAGAGATAATTTATTCAATTGCAAGTAGAAATTTTATTTTCTTATAATTTTGTCAAAAAATGTTCTATTACTACGATCTTATAAAATTCAAGATCAAAAGTGCACGAGTAAGACGATAAAAAAATGGCATCGATTAAATTGACATACTCGGAAAGTCGTCAAATCCTCTTTGTTTTTTTTTTTTTCTCGTTAAAAGGAAGCGACAAAGAGAAACAAGAGAGCGAAGAGCTAGAAAAGGGAGAAAAAGGAAAAGATACGATTTAGTTCGTGAAAAGACGTTTCGTATCGACGTTTGTGCCACGACGCTATCTGTCGTGGATAATGCATCAGCTGCTGCAAAATGTCTCCGCCATTCTCTTTTTTCGCGCAACGAATAACTTCCTGTTTCGAGCACCGAACCAGATTACTAGAAGCATAGCCGCAATTAAATTCTTAATCAAAACGTGTAATAAAACACGCTTTTTTGCGGTTCCATTAATATTTCAAGGGTTTCTGTTATATCCATGAGAATAAAAAGTTCCAATATATGTATATACATACGGTGGATAACGTTTTCTTATAATTATTTATGTTATGTATTTTTTTCCGTAATATAAATATAATGCGTAGTTAATTTTAGAAATCTATGTTTAATAATGATTTTTATCTCGCCGAGGATACTTTTCAATTTATTTATTCCTATGGCGGTTCAGATATGTTCTTTCCTTTTTGAATGCATAATAACTTGACTTGATACTTGCTTGAAAAGCTCATATAGATCATTACTTTGTCGCATCGTCAGATTTGCTCATCAAGACAAGCGTCCTTTACGCGTGCAATTAAGGTTTTTTTTTATTCCACGTGTGTGTCTTGTGCAAGTTAGCCTCCGCAAATATTGCGACCGCTCGTGAATTCGCGGTCACGTTCCGCGCGTAAAATACGTTCTCGGCGCTTTCGGGTTTATACATCGAGTTTAGGGTTCGTCGGCACCTTAAAGCTAGGATAAAGCGGTTCTTTGAATGAGACTCCACTCACTCGAAGATTTATACGCGCCGCGCTAGGAAAAATCGAGCAGATAAGATGAGATGATGCAACTACGTGCCAAAGAACACCAGGATCTACTTAAAGTAGATTGTTGATAAATTTGTACAAATACGTGAGAAAGCTTCGTAGAATGCCAGGTGTTACACATATAATGCCATACACGTATAATGAATTTACTGCCGGGTCAATGCTGGTCGAAACTTCTATTTCTTTGCAGAGAAGTGTAATCTCTCGATACGCAATGGACGGAGAAAGACAAACGCGATTGATCGTGTCATTTTATTTTATTAGAAATCAATTGCATTTGTATCATCTCGTTAGATACGGAATTGCATTCGAAGAACATTTGTAGAAAAATGCATAAAATGTGAAAACTTACCAGTCGTTGCCAGTTTTGGAGACATTTTGTCGCTTGCGTCCAGTTTGGTGAGGCTTTGGCTCGGCTACCATGTTTACATCTGTAAAAAACAGATATTTTATATTAGATGGATATATTAGGTAAATAATAATGAAATATAAAAAATGTTTAGTTAATTTATATTATTAATTATATTATTTATATGATTGGAAATGTCAATTTTGTTATTAAATTTTTATTAAGATATTTTATTGAGAAATTAGATTAAAATAATACGTATATATACATTTTATCATTCATTAATTTCAATATACCACCCAAATTGTCAATTTTTCGAAAAGTTACAACGAACAAAAGAAGCTATATTTCATGATGAATATGGATTTTATCTCTTTGTTATTTCGATTTTTTATGATGAGTGCTAACTTAACAGAAGTAAGCTTTAAAAATATTCACAAGTTGATTAATGAGTTACAGTATTTATTTAGTAATTATAATTTACAATTCGCACTCTCTATTCGTTAATTATAATTCTTACATTCTTAAATCTGCTAAACACACAACAGATATACAATTTCCTTTCTAATTGAATTGATTAAATTTTAATTTTTTGTATATTGCATCTGCATAAGTGTTCAAAAAATTTCAAACTACTGACCACAATTGAAAATAGAAACAATTTTAATTATCAGTAAAGTGGTTTCTAAGATCAAATTGTTCTTCTGTAAAATCTATTGAATCAAGTGCTCATTCATTTAATACGATTTGTCACGTGTAAGCTAAAAATAGTTTACGATATTTAAAGATTTTATTTTTTATACATCGTAAGCTATTTTTAACGTACACGTGACAGATTGTATAGTAATCGTATTGAATGAATGGAACACTTGATTCAGAAATGGATGCAGAAGGATTTAAAGCACTAACGGGGAAACTTTCTCGTATGTGCAATTTTACATTTTTTGAAAATTTGTCACGGAGACAGAATACACAAAAAATTAGAATTTATTTAATTCAGTTGGAAAAGAAACATATCTGTGTCTAAGATTTGAGAATTAATAAAGAGTGCGAATTTTTAAGACGATGACTAAATAAATAACTCATACATACATTTTTATATACACGCATTTATTTTATATTAATCTTTAAATATTGAGACTATAATTATAAGAACTTATGAATTAAGAGCGATACTCTATAATTAAGAAGAAAATAAATTCCAGTCTGGAAGATAAACTATTAATAAAAAACGGTGCAAAATGTTGCAAAATTGATCGGGAACGGATATATATATATTCATCGCATCCGTTTGTTTTTTCATCAATATCTCGTTAAAATGTATCATCCACGCGAATATATATCGACGTTTATATCACTTGCAAAATAAACGAATATCATAAAGAATAATTGGGCGACAAATGACGATAGGGGATAGCGAAAATCGTTTCGCAAACACGCTCGGGTATATATAATACAGCGCAAAGTGCGCTTTCATCGTTGCGCTGCACCGGCTCGCAGCCTCTCGACGGCTTACGCGGATTAATAAAACGAAGACGGCGAGGAGCGCGAAGTTCCCGCTCAGCGTTTCCGCAAACAGTTATTAATTTCGCTGCCTTTGAGCCGGCCCGTAGCGAGATTGATAATGAATGCGCCGCGTCGTCGGCGGGCGATCAAGCGACAAGGATTTCTCATTCTTCTAGGTTTCGTCGGTAACTGAAACCTAGGGTGGGAGAACGCCGTATTCATCATACAGAGCGATTCAAAAGTCGCGCAACAGGTGTGCAACGATATTGATCCGTGCGCTATTCTATGGCTCTCCAACTCGCGATTACATATGTATTTCTTCGAATGTTGGCAGCGTGATAAATACGTAGATTATAACTCTCTCTCGCGAACCCTGTACAGAGTCATTAGTCTTTAGAGGGAGCTGTATAAGCAATTATACGTACTATGACAAACGCAGCGAAAGGAACCGTTTCGCGCGCAAGAGGGATAAAGAATTTCAATGATTTATGATTGATTAGACAATCGCATGATGAAGAAACCCGCGATAACCCTTTTCGGAGTAATGGTACGCCATGCGATATTTAAAAACCAAGGTTAAGAATATCGTGGGGAGGAAAACATAACATATCAGGGAACGGAGATAATGGTTGGAATACTTGTCGGAGGCAAGAAGATGGAACGGTAGAACTGATAAGGAAGGAAGTGTCAAGAAGGTAAGAGAGAAAACGCAAAAAAAAAAGAGAGAAAAAAGCAGGAGAAGCGATAAAACAAAGAAAAACTAATATAAAGGAGAAGGAACGGCTCCAATTTGATGGAACTGTTCTTCTATCCTTATAGCAGAATGGAAGAAGCGGAAAAAGTGCAGATTGAATAGACAACAAGAAAAGATACGCGACGAGATTGTTCAGAAAAATTAATACCATATAAAGAATTTGTCGAAAAAAAAAAAGAGCGAAAAAAGTAAAATATATTTTATTATTAATCTCCTTTAATTAAAGGAAACATAAAGGTATTAAACAAAACATGAAAATTAAATTTTCTCCAAGAGAGAAAGAGAGAGCGCGCGAGAAACGAGTATAATAGATTAAATTTTGACAAAGGGAAAGTCTCCACCGCGTCCACCTTGCGGAATCCTTTCAATTGTAAAGTCAAAATGCGCAATTGGAGAAATAAAGGTAAAATAATCACGATTTCGCAGAAACGCGCCGCCGCTACCCTTTCCGCAACACAAATCACTTTATACCGAAAGCATTTTCCTACTCCTGCAAGACGTTTGCTCGTATCCGTGTCGCTAACTTCCGGGCGCTCTGCAAACCGTTGAGGTCCTGTAGCAACCCTCTACCACCACCACCACTACTCCTTCGCCATTCCAATCCCCTCACGAGGGGTGGTTTGTGGATGTTCCTTGTTAGAGTAGCGGGCTGATTCCGTTGTGTGCGCAGCGGTGCGCTTCGTCCTTTGTGTGAGCTAACCAAACACTCCTCCTCCTCTCGGAGCCTTCTCCCTGTACCTTATCCTCATCTCCCTCATCCTTCTGCTCCACCATTATCGCGGCTACTTGCGCAAATTGTTTACACGTCGGTCCGCGAGCATTTCATGAGGCCAAAAATTGATGATTTGGTAAATGTTTGTTGCATTTTGAAAAGGAGGATTGATTTATTCAAGAAAGCGAGAGTATCTCACCGGCGTAAGATAATATTTGATTGGTCAAAAAGCAATCAAAGCAAAGCTGAGGCACGTCAATATATTCAATTTCGCGAATACTATTATGATTTATGTATGATAAAGCTGTCGGTATTGTTTTGTTTTCGAAACTATCGCGGCGTATCTAATTTGAAATTAATTTACACAATTTTGCAAACTCGATTCTTCGGTGCAACATTAATTGAATAATTTTTGCCGTTTCTGAAAAATCAGATAAAAACACTATAAACGCAATAAATTAATTTAAAAAAATTAATTAACAAAATTTTGCAAGCTCGATTCTTAAATGTAACATTAAACGAGTAATTTTTGTCGTTTCTGGAAAAAAAAAAAAAAAAATTAATTTTCGCGATTAAGAAAAATCCAGGCGTTTTCTCGTATATACGAAAGGCGTAAGGGATTGGTTCGGTTTAAAACGCAAAACCTGGCTGCAGTGGCAGCCGCTCGTTATCGAACACCGCCGCGAATACGAAACGCGGAGCAATTGCATTTCGCCGATTGTTTTTCTCGATTTGATTTTCCTGTATCGAAGCGCGCGAGAATTGATTTATTGGTAATTTACTTCTCCGCGTGGCGAAAGGGAAAATCCGGGCGTCAAGGGGTTAAATGCAGCGCGGCGGAACGAAACTCCCCGACATTCGCCACCGCGACGCAGCTAATCGTTGCGGGCGTCGGCGTCGCCGCGAAGTTTAGTCGATACGCGGGTATACGCGGATGCAGTCGCGCGTGTAAGCGAGAAAGAGAGAGAAAGTACAGTGACACATACACAGAGAGCGATATATATATATATATATATATATATATATATATATATATATATATATATATACTATATATAGAGAGAGAGAGAGAGCAAGTCGAGTATCGATGTCATCTCCAGCACGCGGTTGAAGGGTGATTCCTATATCGCGTTGTGAATTGTTCCTCGAACTAACCGCTCGGCGATGAGCGAGCGAGCGAGCGAGAGCGAGAGCGAGATCGCGAGCGAAGCCGGAGCGGAGTCTGTAACAGGCAGCGACGCTAATGGAATATGACAACGCGAGGCGAATAATAATCGGCCGTTTCTCCGTCGCCGAACTTCGTAATAAAACGAGCATTGTCCGTGACGTTTCGTCGCCGACAGCGTCGCGACGTCACGACGGACGCCGCGTCGTCCCGTCTCGCGTACACGCGGATTTTTCAAGTATTTTCACAAGAGCGCGAGAGAGTTTTCCTCCACGCGTTAGTATTAACGATCTTACTCAGCGATAATTTTTTATATATATATATATAGTGCACGGTGTGTTCAAGGAGTCTTTGTCAATTTAAAGTAGACCTTCCCTTTAATATATAAATGTAACGGAGGACTTTGCTTTAATCGTCGCGATTTCATTGAACGCGTTTAATCGGATTATTTATTTAATCGCTTATTTGCGATGTGTATTTAAAAATAAAATTTTGCCAAATGAGAAATCTTGTAATATTTATATTTGTCTAAAATTGAGGGGCTGGAGATAGCAAGATTTATTTTTGTATTTGATTCTATATCTGATAATCAAAAAGTGTTTTAAAAATAGAGAGGACTAAAAGAGACTTTAAGAATGTACATGTTCTATTAATAACAAGAATGAAAAAAGTACGAACATTTGGATCTGAAAATAAATTTTGTTTCGAATTATAAACACTTTTTTTATTTATAACAGACAACATGCTTCGCATCGATGTTTCACAGATATTGTTCTTTTATTCATCTTTTATTACACGGAAGCACATAAGTATAATCTTCCGATTTAAACCTCTTGAATTTTTATTTATGAGAACATCTTAAGACTCTCGTTTCTGATACTCCTCTTGCTACTGTAAAAGTACTCTGAAATTGTATTGTTGCTTCATATGACAATATACGAAATA